GCTATATTCTTCTATTTTTGATGGTATGTAATAAATAATTAAATCATAATACTTTCGCTAGGTTAAGCGATTTCTTTTTTGTGGCAGCTAGATATGCTGCTATGTTCGAAAATCATGCAGAAAACATCTATCAACAAAGAAGGCAGGATAAACCTAGTAATCTAGTGGCAAGGGATATGAAGAAAGAGTAATATAATCATTTTAAGATATTTTGATGCTATAAAAAAAAACTAACATGTGACATGCTGAGTCAGTTGTAAGTTATATTATGATAATTAAAAGAAATGTATTATTTGCTGATAGTATTTGCTATTTCAATATGTTTATGTGATGTGTTTTTTTAACTTTCACATGTTTACGAAAAAATATTAATACCGTAAAGGGTCATATAAAAGATCCACCTATATATCAGATCCCCCATGAATTAGACCCGAGCGCGAATTACAGGATCTACATTAATCAAGCCTGGTTTTTTTTCAAATATCTAGACTACCTGCCATAAATGCAAAACGTGCATACTCTTCAAAATTTTTTTATTAATGATATAAACTCTCAGCCGTATACTAGACCCGGGTCTATTATAGGTTTTAAAATTGGTGGAATGTAAGAGACCCGGGTCTTCCCTTTACGGTAGTTTTTCCTTTATGGTTGCATCTATATAATCACAATCTTTATGCATATATATATATATACTTTATACCGTATTCTATATAATCACAATCTTTATACATATATATATACCTATATACTGTATCCTATATAATCACAATCTTTATACATATATATACCTATATACTGTATCTTATATAATCACTTAGTTGGATGCACTACCTCCTGATTAACCAATCAACATTAAAAAAAAAAAAAAAAAAAAAAAAAAAAAAAGAAATCAAAAAAAGCTATGCTAACCAAATGATTATAGTTCATTATGGGATCGACACTGGCAGATGTATCTCAGATTGGAATCGTCCCAATTCAGGATCGGGCTGCCCTACATGAGAAATTTGTAAATTATTTGGCAGAATTAGGGTTTGAATAAGAAAATAATTTAAATTTTAATTAGTATATTTTGGGCCAACATTACAAAATTCTCATCCGGGACTGTCCCGATTCTGAATCGCCACCCAGGGACAAAATAAACTTTTTAAGTTGTTAAAACTTTTAATATATCGATATGTAATAATTTAAGAAACTAACAGAAAATTAGTAAAAAATATTTTGGTTATGCTGTCCCGCCATATGAACGAAATTTTTGATGAGGATATGGTGATTATTTAAATTCTGAAATTAAGCGATGCGTATATATTACATTTATGCAATTGATCAATCAAATACAACCATATAATTCGATTTTTATATTTGAATTTCGGCAATTACATAATACGTACAAATGATTGGATTAATTTTATGGAATATTATTATTATTCTCAATAACCCCCAAAATCGGAGTTTTGCCCATATGTATCCTACGTATACGTTTAGTTAGTATTTTGTGAAATTTGCAGATCAAAAAAAAAAACACTCAATTTTAGGTGATTCTGATTTCTTAAAACTACTCCGATATAATTTTCATACCAGATATCGGAGTAGTTTTAAGAAATCAGAAATCACCTAAAAATCAAGCGATTTCTTTTTTTTTTTTTGATCTGCAAATTTCACATTTTTGCAAACCACTATGTGTATATCCACGCTAAACTAATCGATACTATGGTCGTAGAGTTTTTTTTTGATTCACCGACAATAAAAACAATCCTTTAATTAAATTCGTATTGCAAGGCATCGTGAATAAATCTACTTTTCTCCATCACTATATCGTGGCTGTTTATTAAAAAAAAATTACATGGCAGGGTAGCAGGTTTAGTTCGAAACATTATCCATCATCATAGGTATAGGCCTAGCTGTAAACATGTAGGCTTTTTTAAAAATCTGAACTATATCATACTCAATATTTTCGTGAGAATCCACAATGTTCAGATCTTCTAGTCTTTCTGCAATTAGTGATTCTCCTCTCCTTCCCGGTGAATCGGACATGTAAATGGAAGAATCCTTTTCACGTTTTTTAATAACCATTATAGGTTTTTCTAATTCTGCAATTTTTCCCATGATGTACCAATGACCAACTTGAAGAATTGGGACACCCTAAGAAACATATACATCATAAATATATATTGGAGCAACGAAACGTTATGCACAAATTTGGGATCGAGTTACACGTACTTAAAGTTTGAACTTACATTATCAAATGTCAATGTTCCAATTTTTGAACCTTTCGGCTCTCCAATAGTTTTAATGTCACCTTGTATATCAAATAAAATGAGACCTTCCCCTGGAATAGTAAAAAAAACAGTTTTAAGCATTTTTTTCACTGATATAAAACAGGTGATGACTAAAGTCCAAATAATTAAATCGGATTTTATCACCACTTGTTTTAATTACTTTTGCTATCCTTACCTTCCCCTGTTATATCTGTTTCATCTCTAGAAGTTTTCTGAATTTCGAGTTGATCGGGAC